GGTACATCCCGGGTTCCTTGTGTCAAAACGGTGGAGAATATGCAACCTGTCGTGCTCCATTTCAGTGTGCCGGAATCCGGGGAATAAGTTATCCATTCTTTGGTGGGGATAGGCCGGAGTATTGCGGATATCCAGGTTTCCAGCTCAATAATTGCCAAGGCGATGTCCCAATTCTTACTATTTCATCAGTACGATATCGTGTCCTGGAAATCGATAACTCCGGAAAGACAGTTAGAGTTGCAAGAGAGGATTTATGGAACATCACTTGTCCCAGATTCCTTTACAACACAACCTTGGAACAAAACGTCTTTCTGCTTTCTCCCAATTATCCAATCATTACTCTATACTACGGTTGCTCCACAATTAATGGTCAGGCTATACCACAGCTCCCATCGATGTTCCCTTGCGTTGTGAACGATACCAGCAGCGCAAGTTTCTTCACAGTAGGAGGAAATTTTCCATCTATCCCTGGATTGGAAACTGGTATCAGATGTGAGACTAATATCTCCGTTCCAGTCAATCAAGCTGCGGCAGGGTTCTTGGCAGGTTCTACAGCTTCAATCGTTTCACTTCAAGACGCTCTTGCTAGTGGCTTCTCATTGCAGTGGTCCGCGAATAATAACGTCTGTGAAAATTGCACTCGGTCAGGTGGTCTATGCGGAACTAATCGGGATTCTCAATCATTTGCTTGTTATTGTGTTAATGGAACTTCTGCGTCAACTTGCAACTCTATTGAAACTGAAAACGGTACGTGAAACTAAATTTTTTTTTCTTGTTTAGGAACAAAATTATCTGTAAACGCACGATCCCACGACTTTTCCAACTCTCTGATTTTCCAACAAAATCTGGAATTTCAGAAAAGTTTGAGTTAGTATCAATTCGTTCATCCAAAGCATTATATATCAATGGAATCACCAGTTCGTGTCATCGGGGCGGATCTAAGACCGAACTGTTAATATGTAATACAAAAAATTTACACACATCAAAATGAAATGGACTAGGGACTACAGTCGATCCAGTCCCCCTACANTTATATGTAGGTTTTGAGGATTTTCCTGATATTTGGACCAAAAATATAGGTTGTTCAAATTCATCCTTCGTTGTACCAAGGATTAAGAACAGTCCTGTTTCCCCGCCTCTCCTCTGTTTCATCCATATTTCCGGGTTTTTATCTTTTCTGTTCACTTTAGTACCCATATTGAGTTCTTCAAGGAACTATATTTTTAATCCCTTTCGTGTTGAGAATTGGGATTGTACTTCAAAGGTTAACCATTTAGGATGAATAGGAACTGTCTTTTCTTATACATTCCTCGATTCCGTTGCTATCACGGGCTTAACGTATCTTACAAGTCCATCACATATTTCGTGTTTTGTTGTTGAGTGTCTTCGTCCGCACTTTTTCAACCTTTCTCACCTTAGTTTTCGAAGTATTTTATTAGGTGTTTGGTATGGGTTGGCAGTCTTCTTTTAATGTTAAAATTTGACTCTTTTTTTTTTCTTTTTTTCACATTCTCCAAGTTGGATTAGGAAAACGCTGTGGTGGAAATTAACCAACCAATATATATTCTTATATATTGTCGCTGCCTTGACTAATATAGCCACCACTGCAAAAATCCAAAACCTAGTATTTCACACAAATTTTCAATTTACTACATAAATAATATTTTTCTATTCCTTTGGTTCATTCTAAATATATTCAAATATACACCATAACTACATCATATGAATTTTGGTCTCAATTTTTATTAAAACTTATTATTTTTTTCCTAAATTCATTTTCAACCATATATTTTATGGGATTCAGAACTTTTCAACCGTAAATCCCACCAATTTTTATTAAAATTTGATTTTTAGTCAAATAAATAAAGGGACAAGATTTCAAATAGTATGAGAAAGATTGAAAATGAAAGGTGAACCTTCTCTAATTTTAAATTAAATGGACGTTTTCTTGAATTATGGAAGTTTCCAGTCTCTTTCTTTCTCTTTTTAAAATCACACGATACATTTCTTTATTTTCATCAATTCTCTACCAAATATTTCGGTCACTATAAATAATGTGGGCACCCAACAATAATATCAATCACTGTTCATGAAAAGTAATTTTAAATTTAAATATATTAAAAATACCCAATGTCAAAAATTGTGGGCAACCAAGTCAAAACGAATACATTTCAAAAATGACTTTCTTACGTAACTGACCCCACCACAAGCCTAATTAACAAAATATCTACTTTTTATTTTCTTTATTTCTCTATTTTAATTTATAATTACTCTTAGGGCTCGTTTGGAAAACTTTTAAAATGTCAAAAGTTACTTTTAAATAATTTTTTAACCGACGCTGACGTATCATAATTTATGACAAGATAAGACTGGTGTTGTTTCATAATTCATTTACTAGCCTCTTCAGTTCAGACAGTACCTTGGTCAAAAAAATGCAACTCTGAACGTTCAAAAATGGCAAAAAGAAAAACATTTCTTCAATGTTGTTCTAACTATGCCTCTCTCTCCCCATCTCGTCATCCTACTCATAACCACCATTCTAGCGGCGGCGTATTCCCAAGGCGCCACCGTCCCACCCTCCTCCATCAGTAGTTATGCTAACTGTAACCGAACCTTTTCATGTGGCATTATCCGCAACATCACATACCCATTCACTGGCGGGGACCGGCCCTCCACTGTGGCCTCCCCGAGTTCACACTCACGTGCCGAGACAACGCCTTCCCAGAGTTCACCAGCAACTCGGTCACCTACAGAGTCCTCCAACTCGACCAAACTCGGAATACCATGAATCTGTCCCGTTCAGACCTTTACAACAACACCTGCCCTTCTGAATTTCACAATTCTACTCTCAATTCTACACTTTTTGACGATGAAGGGATGGAAAACGAAGTTCTCAACTTAATCTACGGCTGCAATACATCGGTCATGCCCTTGAGACCTTACAATCTTTTCAGCTGCAATTCGAGTGGTGATAATTTCAACAATGCTTTTTATTTAATCGGGCCGGTGCCAAATGACCCTATATTGAGGATCATATACTGTAATGTGAGTATTTCTGTTCCAATTTTGAGGGCTGCGGGTGATAGGCTAACTGGATTGAATATCAGCCTTGAGGAGGCCTTAATGCAGGGTTTCAGTGTGAATTATAGCGATCCATATGAGAGTAACTGTTCTGAGTGTAATAGATTTGGCGGTCAATGCGGGTTTGATTCGGGTTTAGGTCAACCCGTTTGTATTTGTGGCGATAGGCCTTGTCCCTTTGCTTTGACACCTCCTCGAAATGATTCAGTACCTTCACAAGGTAATGGGCACAATAAATTTTAATAAGACTGATAGTAGGAAATTTTAATAACTCAATGCCTTGATACTTCTCTTTAATGACATTCTTGGATTGTTATTATCATCTTGAGTTTTAAATTCTCTTTTGCAGACGGCCTGAATCCTGTTTTATTTATTCATTTGATTTCGTTTTCCCTTCACTAAGTCAAAGCATTAGTATTTCATCTTTCTCACAACTGCAATTTGATGCGAGACTTCGTCCATCCCTTCAATATTCCTTGAGAATTAATCCATTATGTGCTTTTCCCTCTTGTCATCTTGTCTGAACATCCTATTCTAAAGATGGCTAGTGAGCTAAAATTGTTATGGGAACACTTGCAGATTATACCGGCTATGGTAATGCTTTAATCATGAATTCGATTTTCATTGATAATATGAGCAATCATATGTTACCCGATCTAAATTACATTTAGCGTTTGTGTAGATGAGTTTTGTTGAATGTAATCTGTTGTTAAGGAAGTTTGGAACTAAGTCGAAAAGAGCAAGAAGTCACATTCCGAACAGGAAACAAATTAGTCCTATATTAGTATAATGGGAAATGCAGCTTTGCATAAGTTATAACATCCTCGTCGTTAAGTTTGATGATCCTACTCAACTTTGTCTACATTTTTTATAGTATATTGCTGCTCGCACTATCTTGATTTTAATACCTTCAAAAAATTTTAGCTCTTTTATTATGTAGGATGGATTAAGGGAACTAATTCTCCCATGTCTAGCTATTCTTGAACTGCTTTGTTTACTACTAACATTCTACAATCTAATTACAGCTCCAGGGAGTGGGAGTCGTAAAAATAAAACGGGAATGAATGTCGGTATGATCTTGTTCTATGTACAAAAAAAAGTTTGACTTATATCTCCAATACGATAGGCTTGAAAAACTAATCTTTGTCCTCTCTCCCTGATTTCCAGGCCTTTCCATAGCAGGTGCAGTTCTTGCTGGTGTTGGCTTAGGTTGGTTAATTTTCCACTATAGGCAGAAGAAAAAACAACGTCTTGCCGCACAATCTACGGAAACTATGAGCAAGGACCTTCTACATCCTCCAAGCAAAAGCATCTCGACTCCCCCTTCGTCTACGTTTACCAGAAGCATCCCCTCTTATCCCTCTTCAAAATCCGACTTTGGTAGGACCAGTTCCTACTTCGGTGTGCAGGTCTTCAGCTATAATGAACTTGAAGAAGCTACCAATAATTTTGATCCTTCTAGAGAACTAGGAGATGGTGGCTTTGGGACTGTATACTATGGTATGAGTACGACCCCTTGTTAGTTGGATATGTGCAGCATTTTTTATGCAGCTACTGATATTTTGATTTGTTAACAGGGGTGCTAGCTGATGGTCGTGTAGTTGCTGTCAAGCGCTTATACGAGAACAATTTCAAGCGTGTAGAGCAGTTCATGAATGAAGTTGAGATCCTTACTCGGTTGAGGCACCAAAACCTTGTGACATTGTATGGATGCACTTCAAAACGAAGCCGAGAACTGCTGCTTGTCTACGAATATATACCAAATGGAACAGTGGCTGATCATCTTCATGGGAAACGTTCCAATTCTGGCTTGCTATCCTGGACTGTGCGGTTGAATATCGCCATTGAAACAGCCAATGCCCTGGCTTATCTCCACAAATCAGATATAATACATCGTGATGTCAAGACCAACAACATTCTCCTTGACAATGACTTCCATGTAAAAGTCGCCGATTTTGGGCTTTCCAGATTGTTCCCCAACGACGTCACTCACGTGTCAACGGCTCCACAAGGGACCCCTGGCTATGTCGATCCGGAATACTACCAGTGCTACCAACTCACAGAAAAGAGCGATGTTTATAGCTTTGGAGTGGTTTTGATCGAGCTTATATCATCGTTACAAGCTGTGGATACCAACAGGCATCGCCTCGATATTAACTTGGCTAACATGGCGGTCAACAAGATTCAAAATCGCACATTGCACGAGTTAGTCGATTTGAGTCTTGGATTTGAGACGAACAGTGTAGTGAGAAGGATGGCTACATTAGTCGCAGAGTTAGCTTTTCGGTGCTTGCAACAGGAAAGAGATATGAGGCCTTCAATGGAAGAAGTACTGGAGGTTTTGAGAGGAATTCAGAACGGAGATTTGAACGCTCACAAGGTAGAGGTTGTCGATATTTTGATAGACGGCGAGGTTGGACCATTGAAGGGTAGTGTTGCTCCTTCATCACCGGATTCTGTCATCACTGATAAATCGGTTAGCACCTCTACACCTAATTCTAGTGGATGAGAAATTGAAGTTATGCTATAGATACAGATGCTCTGACTCTTGTTGGTGATTGTCATCAGATATCACTTGATGGATTATGGGGTAGAATTTCGTTATGTTTCATCTCTTTGCATGTTCCATTTTTATTCTGAGTATATGGTTTTGACAGTCACCTAATGCTGATTTTAAGCTTCAAAGGGATGTACATAGTAAGTGGAGCTGTTTTCTTAAATTATCCTTCTATCAATTTTGTATCTAATATGTGTTTTTCCAGTGTTACTATATGAATACTAATGGAATAACTATTTTACTTCAGTGTACCAGCATGAAAAGAACTGACTGCTTTGCTAGCCTGCAAATTATTTTTTTTTAACAGAACTTGGTTTCTATGGATGTTTCCGCATGTTCAGTAGAGTTTCTAGTAGTATTATCCATATTAAGGAAGAAAAATAATTTAAAATTTTATTCATTATAGTGTCTAATATTATTTATCAAAAACATTTTGGATTTCCTCTGATCTAAGGGAATAAATCGGCAAATATGATTCAACCATTAATTCAAATCTCACACTTTCACATCAACAACAGGATTTTGTCCACATCATATTATTGATACTATGACGCACATATATTATGTAGATGTAGATTTTTCCTTAATTTATTTGTACATTGTTTTTGTACATCAAGTTTGACATCTCCAAATGTCATTATGTCGTCACATAAAACAACAAAAATGCTACTTGTACATCACAAATTGTTCATAAGGGGCTACACCCCTCTCACATGGGGTGTGTGACCCATTGCATAAATTATTTTTTAATCTAAGCGGGTCCTACCCTCATGTGAGGGGGGTGTACACCCATTGTTTCATTATTGATTCTATCTTAAAACTCAATTTTATTTAGAGGAATATTATAATTTTTTTTATATTAAGTTAATATTTTTATACTTAGATGACGACGTGACGTAGAATTTGTATCTTTAACACAATTTTCCATAATTTTGCCAAAGGCGTTCACATCCATCCCTTTATAACTGTCGACTGCCTGCCTCGACGTTGAACAATTTATCAAGTTTAACATTTAAGAATTTGAGAACATAAAGTGATTTAAAGAGAATTCTTTTAACGTGCCGTTCACATAAAAATGAATAATTTTACTTGTACATAAACAGTTGCAAAAAGTTCTACATATGGACGAGGTGTCAAAAAAAGAGAGTGAAGAAACATTTTTTATTTGATTGAAGAAATTTTTATATAACCACATCATGTGTACGCACGCTAATCTATAAGTTGTGATGTACATGTAGCACAAGTACATAAAAAGACGCAATATTATTGTATCGCATTATTAATATTTGTCTTTATTTTCGTAGCGTTCTATTGTATTGTTTATATGTTAGTGTCTTTGATTACTTTGTGTTGTTTTATTTATTTTGTAGTGTCTTATTGTCTTATTTTATTTGTTAATATGTGTTACGGGTTTTTCATGTCATCTCCCATGTCATCCACCACGTCAAACATGAACTGGATTTCATCCTCCAGTCCGGTGGATGCTAAGACACGCACTCCACATCACTTCGTTACAATTCAAACGGACTAATCAATATTACTCAATGAAACAAGTCCGAAGTGATGACACCAAAAACGCAATTATCACTCCTAGCGCAACTGATCAACTTCAACCTTGTGTACTAGAGATCTTTATGGAAAGATCGCAAAAACCAAATCATTAGGACTGATTGATGGGACATACGCAAACTCCAAAAGGTCAAGGCACGCATAATTGTGTCAGAGAGTATTAAATGAACAGTCTACCTATGGATTGACGGGACGGTCTTTAAAGCCACGTGCTTCACATCCAACGATTATTCTCTTATCCACTGTCATTATAAATACTCACACTTGCACTATAGAAGGAGTTGGTCCCTGGAAAGAAAAAGGAGCACAATCTTTTTACATTATCCGTCCATACACACATCACCACCACCAGACGTCCCAACTCCGATCTATCAACTTACTAACTTGATCGTCGGAGTGCTCAAGGCAGCTTCCACCCCACCGAAAAAGGCCACGAGCGACTAACGGTGTGTTACTACATGCATGAAGGAGCTTATGTTGTTGGTCACGTGTTTTGGTCATTTTTCGGGGTCAACAATATGTATGGTATTATTTATTAGTTAGTATCAACCATTGTATTATGTTAGATCAATTAACACACTACACAATGAATGACGAAATTCGGCAAGTACACTTATCATAGTCAAGTAATAAAGTAATGCTACAATGACTACGTATTTAATCTAATTCGATTAACACTAACTCTAATTAATTTGTCAATTTATGATTGTTGATTTTATAGCTAGTTATATAAACTAATCTAATAAACAACTAAGAAATAGTTTGTAAAGTCGGTTAAAAGTACACGCTAAAATTTTGAATCTCCTTTTATTAATTTATTTTAATACAAATCACGACCGTGAAAATGTTTATTTATTCTTGTTAATTAATGCTCACTTTTTATTTAACAGTCTATTTCGAGTAGAATTAAACATATTATATGTGATTTTTCTATATCTCCGTAGAAAATACGAACACAAAATACTGTATTAATATCATGAGAATATTTATTTAAATCATGTAAGGCATAACGGTGTATATATATTCTTATTGGCCTCCACCACAATTGTTATAACGTGTTATATTCTTATTATTTCTCTCGAATACAATAAAGATCACAAAATAATTTATTTAGTAACTAATTAATTGAAAAATGTTAAATTCTATGACAATATCCAAGACAAACATATAATGTCAAAGCCTTGAAATTAATGTTGAAACATCATAATAAAATGTTCGTTTATGTCTTGCCGACTAAAAGTTTTGCATAGCATTACGAAGTTACAAGAAACCATGTAGAAATAATGAAACATCACCCGAAATTGAAAAATATGAAGAAAATGAGAAGCCATGAATTATACCTTGCCACCTAATTTCCCTCGAAAGAATCAATTTTGGTTCACAAGAAAATTGTGTATTCAATGCTACGAGATCTCTCTAATTGTTGGATGAATGTGTGTATTTATAGAGCCAATACTTAGATTACAATTCGCAGCTGGATTTCAAAAGAAGCAATTCCCTTTTTCACCCTCTTTTCATCAAAAGTCATTTAAATTAGAGTTGATCATAGAACAAACGATATTTAACCAAATTAAGTAGTAACTTCATCAAATTGACTTTCATGTATCCATTTTTGACCGTCCGAAAATTTGTAAAAAATACCCTTACAAACGGAGAAATGTTATTCATCCCCACTGAGGATGCATCCCCAATTTATGTGGATGTAAATGATTGGTTAAATGATATATGAAATTAAATGGCTTATTTAATTTCACATATCATTTAATGCCACATTAACACCACATAAACTGGAGATGCATCCCCAGTGGGGATGAATAGCATTTCTCTTACAAACGCCGGTAATTTTGTTTTATCTTCTGAACTTTTGCACTCCATTTGTATTCTCTCATATAGATTAAACCTATTTATTTAATCATTCTTACTTTATTTATAAAATTACAACACGTATGCAAAATGAAAACCTTGCTTTAACGGTACTTATAAGCAATTAAACATTCTACTTAGCCGTCTGCCGGCCGTATGACATTCTCACTCCAATGCCTCATTTTCCACATGTACATACACAGTTTATAGCTTTATATACAAGTATTAACTTAGGTGTACCCATTCCTCATCAAAACATGCCCACAACGATCTTGCAAACCCGTTTACAGAAATTCAAGCTGATGGCTAGTGAGTGTGTGGTGGCCGGAAGCCCAACGATGAGCCCAGTTATGCACATTCGCCGGAGAAAAACACTGCGGATGCTTCTCAGCCACGGCGGGGGTGGTGGGAGGAGGCTGCCTGTGCAACATGACGATTGGTCTTCTGATCAACGGGGGAACAGAAACGACGGGATATCGCTGGAAAAGAGGAAGAAGAATTTTTTCAGCCATAAGCTTAAGGACCTATTTGCATCCTCTCCGCCGGCACTTGATGAGAGGGTTTCGGAGAATGTAAAAGAAGAAATTTTACCGCCGTTCGGTGGTGGTGTGAGGAGGAGAGACGGTGCTCGGTGGCGGAGGCCGGGATCGGCTCTGTTTCGGCGTCGGTTGCTTAGGAGGGCTTGGCGACCTGTTCTCGTGACCATACCCGAGTAATATTGTCAAAGTTTGCACGAAAATGTCGATTTACTATTTTAATTTTAAGTTCTTTACTTGTTATTCTCTTATTTTCTTTTTATTCTTTACTTGTTGCACACCAATGACTTTGAAACATTAGGAATGATACTGCAACTTATCTGATTGATAAAAAGAAAACAGAGAGAAAAAATTAAAATTAAAAGGAACCGGAATATAATTATATTCATTCGAGAAGAGCTCCAAAAGATATTGATCATAAGCAGAGTTGGAACTGCTAATTATGATGAATGCGCTAACTATGGATATGCTTAGGAGGGCTTGGCGACCTGTGCTCGTGACCATACCCGAGTAATATTGTCAAAGTTTGCACGAAAATGTCAATTTACTATTTTAATTTTAAGTTCTTTACTTGTTATTCTCTTATTTTCTTTTTATTCTTTACTTGTTGCACACCAATGACTTTGAAACATTAGGAATGATACTGCAACTTTTCTGATTGATAAAAAGAAAACAGAGAGGAAAAATTAAAATTAAAAGGAACCGGAATATAATTATATTCATTCGAGAAGAGCTCCAAAAGATATTGATCATAAGCGGAGTTGGAACTGCTAATCATGATGAATGCGCTAACTATGGATATGATATCGAAAACCATTGAATAGACGAAATAAAAAAAAAAAAAATGGATTTTTGTTCATTTTTAGTCACTGTTTGATTTAGCTAAAAAATTAATAAAAATCTATATTAAAGTCGATAATTAATTTTAACTATTCATTTCATAAGTTCCACAATTTTTATCGTTTCTATCAAAATTAAAGAGGTGTGCTTTATATTGTATAACTTCAGCTTAGGATTATAACTCTGCGATTGTTGGATCTTGGTGCAAGTGTAAAGCTTTTGGTTGTAGTAGGATTCAGGTTTAGCCCATGTTTGGTGCACATTTTTTAGTCAAGAATACATTTTTTATGTGATAGGGAATATGTGGTTGAAAAAAAAGGAAAAATTATTGATTTAATGGAAAATATTATTTTATTAAAGAATGTGTAGTTCAAAATGAGTAGAAAAATGATAATGAAAAAAACAATGCGGTTCAAACAGGGGTTTAGTCACTTTTTATATCCCTTCAATATTTTTTATACCACACACGTGAACACATATTATATCCTCTTCTATGCAGCCCCTATTCGACACCCGTTCTTTTAAAATACATTATTTCAAAACTCATTTTCAACCATACATTTTTAATAAAATAATATTTTTCATCACATCAATAATTTTTCCTTATTTTTTAACCACATATTTTCAATCATATCACTATTTAAAATATATTCTTTCATCAATAATATTCAACAAACACACTCTAAATCTATAAAAAAAGTTACTTTTGTACTAAACATAGGCCCTGCTTGGGAGTGATTAAATTTTTCTACAGTAAATCAATTCTCATTTTCAACCACACATTCTTCAATAAAATAATATTTTACATCAAATCAATAATTTTTTCTTCTTTTTCAACCACACATTTCTCATCATATCACTATTCAAAATCAATTATTCCCTCAAAAATCTCTCCCAAACAAGCTCATAATAGGTCAGATCTACATGGTTAAGATACATAGTTCGTGTCACCTCACGTTTTTAAAGAGACCAGAAAAAATAAAATAAAGAAAATATTATGAACTCAACGGTACTTTAAGCCCCTGTTCTCACCATATTATTTTTCTACTTATTTTTAACCATACATTCTTAAATAAAATAATATTTTTCATCACATCAATAACTCTTCCTTCTTTTTCAACCACATATTTCCCATCACATCAACAGTAAAAATGCATTCTTACTCCCAAAATGTACACCAAACAGGGGCTAAATTTAGTTGAAGAGGATATTTAGTTGACAAAATATAATTGTCAAGTGATAAATTCCATTTTTCCTTTTGTAAATATTTAGTTGACAAAATATAATTGTCAGGTGATACTATTCTTGAACAGAACATTTGTTTTCATTCTTTCCTTCAACTAATTGAGTTGGAATTTGTGTTTATCCTTAACAAATCCAAAAAATGAAAAAAAAAAATAATCAACACTGAAAATTGCAAAGTCATCCTTCTAGTTTTTGTGCATTCCTATTTCACACAACCCATTAAACAAAATTTTTTTTGTCGATATTGTTATACTCCAAGGCTCCATTAGGTACACAAGATTAGGTCAAATAAGAGTATTTTCAAGAAACTTTTTAAATATGAGATACTCTCTATTTTAAAGAGTCAACATTTAAAATCATACTTCAAGGGACTCTTTAAATTAATATTTTAATTTAGAGAGGAGAGCCAAACCCACTCTCTATAATTAAATACATTTAAAGTGTTTCAATTTTCAATGTAGGAAAACAATAAAATAATCTAAAAAAATTAATTAAAATAAAAGATAAAGAAAAATAATAAATATTTTTTGGGAGTAGTAAAATCAAGTGTTAAATATAAAGAGTTTGTTGGAGTAAGCGCAGGCACACGAAGGCACCTTCAAGTAGGCAAAGGCAGGATCGTGTGCAGGCCATATCAGACATGTTTATGTTTTTCTCAAGCATTTTTCAGGGACCGTGTGCCAGCTATGTCAAACATCATCAGATTTTTCAGCCACGATGTGCAAGTTATGGCAGGGATGCAAACACACGAAGACAGCACCGTCTGCAGGCCACGTCAGGGTTGTATGCAGACCATATCAGACATCTCAACGTTTTTCTCAAGCATTTTCAGGGACCGTGTGCAGGCCATGTCAAGCATCATCCGACTTTTAACTCTCTAAATTTATAGATGCTCTCCAAATAATAGAATATGTTTTTTAAAAATACAGAATCTCTTGGAGATACTCTAAGAATTCAATAAAAAGTTTATAATGGATAGCAATACGTAAATTTTATTATGGCAAATTAATGTAAATAGAATTTCTTATTTTTTTCATTCCAAAGATAAATCGTTTGTACTGTCAACTCCATAATATAATTTTGAACATCAAAGAATCTGGAAAACCTAGATTCTTAACCTTCTTTATCATTTTTGTTGCACATAAATAATTTTAGTTGCATCAAACTCAGCTTCCTGTTTGAAGTTATATTTTTAAAATCATTTTTTAACCATGTTGCCGACTGTACGAAAGCCGTCGTTCGAATGATTCAAGATTCAGAAACACGTTGGATATACGTACACTGTACACATACCCCGTTCGCCGTTACTGGTAATCCAGTATACATTATTTGTAGGAATGCCCAATTTTACTATAAACGGATATATCTGATAGTTCAAGAAAAACCCCAATTTTCCAGTTAGATATTCAAGTTTCCTTTGAAAAATGGTCACTTTACTTTCCCTACTTGTTGATTTCTACGCCTTCTTTCCACGCGCCACCCTCCCCCACCCCTACTCCACCACCCAGTTTCACTTTTTATCCCTTTGATTATTTTCTCTGCAAAAAGCCAAAAAGAAGATCTAAATACAAGAAAAAAACATAAAAGTTGCTATTTCGTTTATCAACAGCTATGAGATATATTTATTTACTGAGTCTGAGGATATTTTAAATAAACGGAAATAATGGGCGGGGTGACGTCATCGATCGCAGCTAAGTTCGCGTTCTTCCCGCCGACCCCGCCTTCGTACACTGTGGTGGCAGACGAATCGTGTGGTGGAGCTCCTAGCATACCGGAAGTTCCACGGAGGGATGACGTTGAATTTTTGAAGCTGAGGACCCGACGGGGCAACGATATCGTGGCGGTTCACGTCACCCACCCCAAGGCCACCACTACACTGCTATACTCCCACGGAAACGCCGCCGATTTGGGGCAGATGTATGAGTTATTCGTCGAGCTTAGCCTTCGCCTTCGAGTAAATCTCATGGGGTAATTTTGAATTTTCAGCTGCTAATTTTGCTAATTTGTGGACGTACAATCTTTTTTAGCTACATGGGTGTAATAAAGATTGGTCATTTAAGACGGTTTTTTTTCTATGTTTTGAGTTTTTATGATTTGATTTGGTTAAATAAAAACTATCTCTTGGTAGGATTTGGTTGCTTAATTTGATGGGATGCCGGCGATGAAATAATAGTCTTTTGTTTCGCTTGAACTGCAAATTTGCCCTTTATTATTCTCTTAAGGTACTGTTCTTGTGGATGATTTATATTGGACTATTGGAGGGTTGCATCTTATTACTGATCAATAAAGCAATTTATCTCTTCACCAGAGATTTCTAGAATAAAGATTTTTGTACATTCTTGGATTCCTATTCATCATCTAGCTAATAACTACAATAAATTTGGTAATTGTTATAAAAACTAAGTTTTTTTTTTCTATTACATTTTAGTATGCTTGTTCCATTGATAGCATAAAAAGGAAGGAGAAATGGTTTATTTGGAATTAGAGATCTATACAATTCTGTCCTGAGCAGTAAGCACAATCGGACTTGATCGCGATCTGATTAAATCAATTTCTGTCCAGATAATGCTCACATTTTTATGCGAATTATTGAAGAATAAAAAGATAACTATCCTATTTGTCTTGATTGTTGTGTACCTTCCCGACTTCTTCATTCTTGTATCCTCTCCAGGTATGATTATTCAGGCTACGGACGGTCCACTGGAAAGGTTAGAGCTCTCCTCCCTTTGAACTGCAATATATGCATGTTCTGTAAATATTGTTCTTCTTTGTTATTTTTCCACCTGTGAAGATCCTGCAAGGCACGCATTTCTATCTATTACATTCTCCTTCGAAATTTCCTGTCCTCGTGATTAGAGTCCGTAGCAGTGAATTAAATTGCAAATGCTTTCAGCAGTTTTAGATGTTAACAGATTATCTGTACTATTAAATAGCTCATTCCTTTTGGTTTGTTTCTTCTAGAAGTAGGAAGGACTTATGCTAATAACACAGGTATAACAACTTTATCATTTCATAGAATTCTGTATTACATTGTCTGTGTTTTTCTTTTCTACAAGATTTGTTCCTTAACCCCAAATTAAATGTCTTTGTTTGATTTGACATGATTTGGATGTGTCATGTTTTGATTTATTGTTAGCAGAATTTTGTGATGTGACATAAGTGATATTTTTGACCATGTGTTTTTAACATTGAACAATGAGAGAAGAAGTAGCATGGGATTATTTCAGTAGTAGTGTTTCAGGGAAAAAACAGAAGGTATTTTTTACTTTAGGAATATGCACGACTGGAACAGCCCATGAAGTAAAGATATTTGATTTTTGATGGAGTATTTTAGTACGGGTTTGATCTCTTGCCCACAGTGGGCATCATAACTCATGTCCATTGTGAGAAAGAGATCAAGTATGTATTTTAGTATTGGGGTTTTTGTAACAGTATTTTTTAAGCAATATTCAAGCCTTATATAGTTGATAAGGAACCTAGATCTCCAAGTAGATTTAGCAATTAATAGCGCACAATGGCCAAGAAGGATTTATGTAGTTGATCCCAAATTTATTGGGAATAAAACTTAGTTTTTTGCTATTGATGTTGCTGTTTCAATACTTAGATACGCTAAGTAGTTTTTGAAGCAATTTGGGATTCCACCTCTTGCAAAATGAAAGGCACTGCAATCGAGATTTCACTTTGGTGACTGTGATGCCTTGAAATTAACCCCCTGTTTGGCCTTCATCAAAATTATAATTCATTTTTCTCTTTTCTCATCAACCACATATTCTTCAATAAAATAATATTATACGTAATCCGAAAACTTTTTTTCTTTTTTAACCACACATTTTTCAAAAAAAAAACTCTATTCCAACCATTAAAATTTCAAATAATGGGGGCCAAACGAGAGCTAAGAAACAATAACAATGTTAAGAATGCGTTGTGTCTGCCTTAAACGGCAAGAAATTTGGATAGTCTTGGTTTTTGGGGTTTTCTCCCCGGTAACTCAGTAAGCCACTCTTCGATGGTCATGGACCAGTGTTTGACGCTCCTCTAATTGTGTTGAACCACATATATTGGGTTGTCGTATCAGACACTTTTAAGAATTAAGTATACACTATCGCTTATAGGTTTTATTAATTTCCTCGGGTCATAGTTGAGAAACATAGTATGAGTTTGGAAAACAATATTTACATAGGAACAAAAATAATACTGAAACTTCATTCTAACGGTATGGGGAAACAAGAGATGATCTATACTAACATGCTTGAGCACTAAGTGTGGCATAAGATTTACTTACATGAGATGTATATATGTTATATGTAAAAGCAGATATAAGTCATGTTGTATCTTAGCCCTGGTTGGACTCTCATTTAAACAAAACTCTTCATTTTTTATACTTATTTTCAACTATACATTATCATGATAAAATATTATTCTACATGTAAACCCAAAATTTTCCCTACTTTTTAACCATACATTCTCCAAAAAAAATCAATATTTAAATATCATTTCCCCCCAATCTCTCTTTATAATGGCTATCAAATAGGGGCTCAGTAAAATTTCTTTGATCAAATATTCTGAAGGCCTGTGTTGTCTAAGCTTAAAACAATTACTTTGAGTAAACAAGTAAGTTTTAAATATAAATAATTTTTAGATTGGTCAAAGTTAGAAATAAGTTACTTATTTTGAAAGTAACCACTGCCTTACTATTAAAGTAAGTAACATAACTTAGGCCCTGTTTGGTCCACATTATTTTTTTCATTCTCATTTTTCTACTCATTTTCAACCACACATTTTTCAATAAAATAATATTTTCATCAAATCAATAATTTTTCCTTTTTTTTCAACCACATATTCCCCATCACATCAACAGTAAAAATGCATTCTTACCTTCAAAATGTGCACCAAACAGGGGCTTAATGAAGGTATATTTTAAGTTAACTTTTATGCTTATCCTACATGCTCTCGGTAAGGGTCCTAAGGAATTACTTGCTTGTTTCTGTGTTGTGCTTTACCTAGGTTTTGACCTGGTTCGCATATTTCTCTTAACATTTTGTCGTTGAGTCATGCTTTATTATGACACAGCCATCCCTTGTTTTTGGAAACAGCCAACTGAATGTAATACCTACGCAGACCTTGATGCTGTATATAAATGCCTTAAGGAGCAGTATGGGATTAAAGACGAACAAATAATTCTGTATGGTCAGTCTGTTGGTAGTGGTCCCACCGTAGATCTTGCATCACGGGTACCAAATATGAGAGGGGTTGTTTTACATAGCCCAATTTTGTCTGGGTTAAGGGTGTTGTACCCTGTAAAACGGACATATTGGTTTGATATATACAAGGTAAGTTTGCACTTAATTGTCATGTGTCATTTTGTTCCCAATTTTTCCATATTGACACGTATCGTTTCTCCATGGTTTCTATGTTAATTACAGAATATTGACAAAATTGGGGCCATAAACTGTCCAGTTCTTATCATTCATGTAAGTTTCTCACTCTTGCTTGCTCTAGATATTTTTCCCCCATCCCTGAGCTCTAGATATTTTTCCCCTCCCTGAATCCCAGTTTCTTGTATTGTTAATTTCAAAGATATCTGGAGAAATGAATTTTGTGGACTGGCATGCATATTGTTGCTTGTTAATTAGTAGTTCATTGTCCATTTTCTGCAATTAATATTTTTGCCTTGACGCTTCATCTGTATATTTTCCACCTAAGACTATTAAGACTTGGGCTTCCATCTTAAATAGTCAATCTTGTTAAGAGAAGTAGTCTAAATCTTTAAAATAATCATTTATAACTAATGTGGAATATATCCCCTTAATATGCTCCTGCAAGATGGTGGCTTATTTTAGCACACCAATCTTGTAATGCAAGTGCACATTTGAGCTTTAGAAAGATCGAATTGCTCGTTTGATACCATATAACACATGGGGTTCCATTTTAAAAGATTAACCTTGTTAAGAGGTGTAGTCCAAGCCCTTGTATATTATTGGTTAGGATTTATCCCTTGACAAAGACATCCATTAACATCCAAGGGAATGGGCAGTAAGACTTTAAATTAGACACGCTCACATATAAGCCTACATAACAGGGAAGTAATTTTTGGTTTGTGGGCTCTTCTTCTATTGTACAGTGGAGCTTTGATAATTAATAATTACCAGACAGGAGCGGCATCAACACCCTTTAATTTTGTAGTGCTTTTCCTGGTTAATTTTTAGGCTGAAGAACATATTAATTCAGGAAGGATTTTAGAAGAAAATGATTCACATTCATAAACTTCACGAATAATTCAGGTACTTGATTCTTCTCTTCTACTGGAGATTTTACCATCTGTTGCACATGAAATATCTAAAACATGTTAGTAACATATGCAATCAAAAGGTAACTGTCATTTTTAAGTTGTACTTTAAAACTTTTATGAGATAAATGATTAATAATTATCGTTTTCATAACTAGGGAACAGCAGATGAAGTTGTTGATTGCTCCCACGGGAAGCAGCTTTGGGAGCTTTGCAAGGTTAACTATGAACCTTTATGGATAAATGGAGGTGGGCATTGCAATTTGGAACTTTATCCCGAGTTCATTAAACATCTGAAGAAGTTTGTGCTGTCTCTTGGGAAATCAAAGCCACCTATGGGTGATTCTAAAACAGCATCATTAGACTCTGACAATCAGAATAAATCAGCTGTGAGCAATACCTCAGACACATCGCAATCAGATATACCAGATTTATCTAGGAACAGTTTGGATAGTCGACTTGACAAGTCCAAGAAGTTAAGCAAGCCTGAAAAGTCTCGAATGAGCACTGACCGTGTTGACAGGTTGAGGAGGAAAAAAGGCTTGATCTGGTGATTTCTTTTAAAGCACATTAATTTACATAATTATCCTCACCTGAGAGTAGTATTCAGGTTTCTTCGTGGATGTGTGGTCTCTGAGTTCCGAGCATGTATCATCTTGATAGTGCTTAAGGTATAAGTTATCTTGATCATAGAGCTGAGAGCGAATGAAGGATATCCTGATAGAAAATAAGACCTTCATTTGAAAATTTCACGGATTACTTTGAATTGGGCAGCACGTAGTTTCAGCTGTTTCATCTCCAAATATGTATATTAGTCTCATATTTTTCCTCGACATTTGCTGTTCCAAAGTGTTGTACATTTAATGTTTTCCCAGAAATTGAACTGTCCACACTATCCATCTGAACTGATCTAGAAATTTCATTTTATTGGTTTTTTTATTTTTCATAAATCAGTTGCCTAGAATGAAAGAAGGGTATAAATCTTATAATAAAAATTTTGTTTAATGTAATTAAATTATCGTCAATCAAGGCGCTTAAGCTTAAGACTCCACTGATGTAGACTGGTTTCCTGAGATGATATAAATTGGTTACAATCAAACGACCAGGAGAACTCAAAAAGTCAATTATACAGTAAATGTTTGAATATGTACAGTAAATTGGTTACAGTAAATAAATGTTTGAATATGTACACTGTGTGGGTCCATCCGAAATGCAGGCGAAACCTCTCTTTTCAATTTTCTCTGGACAAAGGCAAACTTAGCAGTGTTACAATGTCTTGACTTTAATTGGTCTGCCATTCACAGCCGTTGGTTGCTGAGATTGTAGATACTAACCAGACTTACAAGAAAGGTGACTTGCTCCTCAGCGATGTACACAAACTTCCTTCATATCTTCTCATTATTTATCATCACGACCCTCGTATTGCTCTACTTCCCGGGTTCCTTCTGTCAAAATGGTGGGGAATATGCAGCCTGTGGTGCTCCGTTTCGATGTGCCGGAATCCAGGAAATAAGTTATCCATTCTGGGGTGGGAATAGGCCGGATTATTGCGGATATCCAGGTTTCCAGCTCAATAATTGCCAAGGAGATGTCCCAATACTTACTATTTCATCAATACAATATCGTGTCCTGGAAATCAATAGCACCGCACACACTCTCAAGGTTGCAAGAGAGGATTTATGGAACAACACTTGTCCCAGATTTCTTTACAACACAACCTTGAATCGGAACCTTTTTGAGTTTTCACCCAATGATCAAAACGTTACTCTACACTATGGTTGCTCCACATCTAGTGGTCAGCCTTCACCACGGCCCCCACATATGTTCGATTGCACTGTGAATGGAACCAACAGCGAAAGTTTGTTCACAATAGGAGAAGATTCACCATCTATCCCTGGAACTGGAACTGATATCAGATGTGATACTAATATCTCTGTTCCAGTCAATGAAACTGCGGCAGGGAATTTGGCAGGTTCTACAGCTTCAATCGTTCTTCTTCAGGACGCGCTTGCTAGTGGCTTCTCATTGCAGTGGTCAGCGAATAATAGGGTCTGCAGAAATTGCATTCGGTCAGGTGGGCTATGCGGAACTAATCAGGATTCTCAAGCACTTGCTTGTTATTGTGCTGATGGAACTCATGCGTCAATTTGCAACACTACTCAAACTAGAAACAATACTCAAAATGGAATCAATACTCAAACTGGAAACACTACTCAAACTGGAAACATAACTCTAACGGGAAACAATACTCAAACTGGAACCCGAAATGGTACGTACGCCAGCTTTTCCTCCACTCAATTAGTTTCATCTTCTCTCGTTTTTACATTTGGAGAACGTTATTTATTCATTTTTATTGTTTTATTGGAACAAAAATTTATATGATTCTCTGTTTTTCGGGGAAAAAATTGAGTTAGTGTTAACGGCTGCATCCAAAGAATTAACATTACATATTTATGGAATATCACTGCTTCATGTCCCCACCTTTATAAAAAATACGCGTATGACAGTATAAGACGTCTGAGTTGTTTGTTCTAACATATGGACCCAAAATATTCTCTCAATTCTTCGACAGTATACCAGTTGTTAACACCCCATCCTTCATTGTACAAGGGAACACTTTCTGATTCCTGCCTCTCCTACATCTCAAATCAACGCAAGTATAACAGCTTCTATATTTTACCCAGTTCCAGATTCTTAAAACACTTTCTGTTTCCTGCCTCTCCTTCATCTCAAATCAACGCAAGTATAACAGCTTCTATATTTTACACAGTTCCAGATTCTTATTGTTATTGACCTAAGAAATGCTTAAGCTAACAGTAGATTGTGGTGAATTGAAGTTGATTTTCATGAAAAAAATTTGAAGGAAGATTTCATTTTCATGCCTGCGTGTGAAGGTGCTAGCATGTGAGTAGTGAGGAGATTTGTCAATTTTTATAGGCTTACGTTTTGGTTGCAGGATCAAAGAAAGGAAAGGGCTTGATGATAAGTGGAAGTACGTAATAGGTAAATCAAATCTTTGCAGAAGTTAGATTTCAAGTTCTCTTCCTTTCTTGATGAGAAACATACTATATTTATCTCCAAATAATTTGTATATATGTAACTACCTTTTGGGATGAAGCCCTCTACAATTGCTCGATAACAGAATTCTGTGTCTGATCTCCAATCTTTGCATGCAGGGGTGTCACTCGGCATACCTAGTATCATTGCATCGTCCATCATTATATTCTGCTACTTTAAACGACAATGTTCATCATCGGAGTCGATACAGGAAAACAATCAAAAAGTTGAAGCATTTTTACTTAACCACGGATCTCTTGCTCCAAAATGATATAATTACTCGGAAATTAAAAATATAACCAAATCCTTCTCTGATAAGCTTGGTCGAGGAGGATATGGTAGTGTGTACAAAGGAATGCTACCTAATGGCCAACCCGTTGCTGTCAAGGTTTTGAATGAGGTAAAAGGAAGTGGAGAAGACTTCATGAATGAAGTCGGTAGCATCAGTAGAACTTCTCATGTCAATATTGTCAATCTCTTGGGATTTTGTTATGAGAGAAATAGAAGAGCATTAGTTTATGAATTTATGCCCAATAAATCATTAGACAAACTAATGTACAGGAGTGGATCACTCAATTCAGAATGCCATTTAGAGTGGAAAACATTGTACCAGATTGCTGTCGGGGTCGCCCAAGGTTTAGAGTATCTTCATGGAGGTTGCAACACAAGAATTGTACATTTTGACATTAAACCTCAGAACATTCTTTTAGATGAAGACTTCTGTCCAAAAATTTCAGATTTTGGCCTTGCTAAATTATGCGGAAAGAAGCAGAGCATTTTGTCAACAATTGGTACAAGGGGCACTATTGGTTACATTGCCCCAGAAGTTTTCTGTAGAAATTTTGGAGGAATGTCTTACAAATCCGACATTTATAGCTACGGGATGATGGTTCTTGAAATGGCTGGAGCGAGGAAAATTGTTGAAGCTGGATCAACCAAGTCGAGTGAAAATTATTTTCCCGACCAAGTTTATGAACTCATAATAGTTCGTGAAACGGTGAAATTCGATGAATTCATGAGCAGCGAGGACAAAGAAACGGCAAGAAAGATGTTTTTGGTAGGTTTTTGGTGCATCCAAACTGCTCCATCTGCCCGTCCATCAATGACAAAGGTACTTGAAATGCAGAAGGGAAGTCTTGAAT